ATTAGGCAGTTCTGTCCTCTGCACACCACGAGGTGACCAGGCCGCATATCGATGTAGGTACCATTATAGGTAGGTGGACGGTCGGTGACAAATTATCTGAATCTAAGAAGAACCTCTTGCATAATGAAACAATGCAGTTTTTGACTCTTCAATATCTAAGTACTGCTACCGTGACTTCTGTCTCAAAAGCGTCTGTATGAAAAGAAACATTAATTGTAATTCAGTACTGGCATTAAACATAAACAGCATTGTTGGGGATTCAAACCATGAAAACTACGATTAAGATAAGAGCATAAGGCTACTTTGGTACTCAGTCATGGATGGCCAAAAGAAAAAAAAGTAAAATAGCATTACTGTTTTCGGCGATGTAGAAAGCCATCGTTTTCAAGTGATGAATCGATCATTGGTATACAGTAGTTTTACGGCGACCACCGATGACACCACTCACCTAAAACTTGACCTGAAGCCTGAAGGCAGCTGGTGTGGTGCCTTGTCGCCGCATTAGATCATTCTCTGGGATTCGTCAATGCATGAACTGGCATGAACCTTCTTCAAAAACTCGGAACGTAGTTGAAATGTGGCATACCAACAATGTCAAGCAATGGTCTGTAACAACATAAACCTTTCGAACCAATGACTAAAACATCTAAATATTCTATAGTATTTAAATCACGCACAACTTCATAAAAACAATAAAAATAAATCAAGGCTACACTTTCTTAATCTTTGATGTGTATCGCGAATACTCGTTTTCAATGTACATTTTTATGATTTTTCTCGCAATGTCACGAGATTTCGATAGAACCGTCTGATGCGCGGATTGCATTTAGCGCTTTTTGGAGTTTCTTCAAGATGGTGTACCATTTGTTGATGTGGAAATTTATTTAAAACAGACGTCACGTACAAAAAATTAGCACTAAGTTTTTTTCTAAATAAAATCGTTGCTTCGTTTATTGCTTCCTATATCTTTATTAACATAGCCGATCTTCATACCATTTTCCATGTCAATTTATTGCTATTACCGGGAGTCGCTCATTCACAATTATAAGAAAAAAATGGTGCGGAATGAAATGCAGCCCCGGTAAGGTATCGCACAGATAATCAGCCACGTCTACCACCTTACTTGAACTAATTAACATACAATCGGAAACACAGATATCCGGAGGCCTAGAACTATTAAAGTAGGTAAAGGCGCGTGTAATGCACGTGCATCCGAGCCCTCCTCCGCTCTGTAAATGTGAGAGTGGTAAATATATGACGTCTGGCGATATACCAAATTCGAATTAAATCAGGCCTGTACAGGGTGTCCCATAAGTTCGTTCTCACCTAAATTTTACGTTTTTAGGCTCTCTTGCTTAAAGGCACGCTGAAATTGGTTCGTTACTGGGCTTACGTGGTTGCCATGGCTGGTAGAAATATGCTCCACAGTAACTAATTTCTGTAGACAAAATAGTTTTTGCTGGAGAGCCCGTTTTCTACACAGACGGCTAACGCCGCAACACAGAGGTCTCCAATACGGGTACGTCTCGGTATTTAGTCAGCACGTGACCATTCGCGACGATTGAGGGTGATTGAGGCCTACCAGTCTGTAGACAATGTCCATCGCTAACTGGAAGCACAGTCAGCAAGTGACACCGATGATTTGTCGGGAGTCAATCATTGCAAGTTTATCCTCTTTTTTTGTCAGCTCTCAGGAGTGAGCCATGTGGCCAAAACTGTGTGGCGCCAAAGTGGCCATCAAAAAGGTCAAAGGGTTAGAAAGTTGGTAAGCAGACTTTTCAGGATGGATTACCAGCTGTCTAAGAGTGTTATTTCGGGGTACATAAATCAAGGTTACTTAAGCTTTGCTTACCGGAGGGCTCAAAACAGTCAAAAACGTCTTAAAATGGCCAAACATGAGTTTCGTTATGCCTGAGGCTAAAAAAACTAAAGGGCTGAGGACATCAACCAGGTCATCTGGACTAAATAGTCCACGTTCGAGATGAAACACCCGTCCAAACCCGAAAACAACCCCATAAGGGCGAAGGAGGAGGCCTCCGTTTCGTCCCGTTATGTTCCTATGCGAAAGGCCAAGGTCACGGTATTGTGGGGTTATAGGCGTCCAGACGCTGACCAGGTTGCGATTGGTGTCCCAGAAACAGCTTTGGGAAGCATAATGCTTTTCCAAGAACATCTGGGAGGAGTTTCAACCCTCAAGCTGAACTCGAACCGCGAGTATGAACACATTTATAGAGGAGAAAATGGCATCCGAGAGGTCGTAGGCCCATCTTCAGGCAAGACAGTGCATCAGTGCACAGGTCAAGCAAAGCTTAAAAGCGGTGCAAGGAGACTGTGACAGGCGTTTGTGGCAAGACCACATGCCAGGCACCTCATCGGATCAAAATTTCATAAAAATTTGTTGGTTATGCTGAAAATTAGGCTCGTCGAAGCGTAGCGCTGTTCCAGCCTCGAGGAGCTCACGACGCATGTCAAGTCAGTCTGGATTAACTTTAAGCTTGCTATGCAGCCAAACATGCTGGTTGGCATGCCGCAGCATGTGTTCATGTGTTTGCCTATTAAATGGGGAGCACATTGAGGGGTCACAAATATATCAAGACGCAATGTACTCTGTTTCACATGCAAATATAATGTGAGAACGAACTTATGAGACACCCTGTACTTCCGGAGATATAAAGAAGGGGTGTGCACTGTGCACGCGCTTACGTGCAGCAACACCCCTCTTCGAAACATGGGATTGTGGTAGATCTATGACATCTGACAACACACCGAATTTGAGCTTGCTCGGGCCAGTGGTTACTGAGATATAAAGAAGGGGTGTGCACGTGCGCACGTGCACCAGCACCCCCTGTTTCAGAAATGCACTAGTGGCTAATTGATGTCATCTGTCCACATACTAAATTTGAGCTCAATCGGGCCAGTGGTTACTGAGATATAAAGAAGGGGTGCGCACGTGCGCACGTGCACCAGCACCCCCTGTTTCAGAAATGCAATAGTGGCTAATGTATGTCATCTGGCCACATACCAAATTTGAGCTCAATCGGGCCAGTGGTTACTGAGATATAAAGAAGGGGTGCGCACGTGCGCACGTGCACCAGCAACCCCTATTTGACAAATGTGATAGTGTCGGATGTATTGTATCTGGTCACATACCAAATTTGAGCTCAATCAGTGACGCGGTTTTGGAGATATCATTAGACCAACTTTGTAAACACCCCTCACGCGCCACGCGCAGACCCTCCTCTGTGCCAGCCGATATCTCCCGGAGACATTGCATTCAATTTTTAATGCACGGGGCCATCAAACAGTGAAGACCGGACCTATCTCGGTGTTACTGATCTCGAGATATAACATCTGAAAGTTAGGGCCACTATGGTCATGGCCGAAATTTCTGCGCTCAGTCCAGGTGTACAGAGGTCTATGATATATATTATCATATGCTCTCTATGATCATCAGGTTATTTTGACGTTAACTAGCTAAGTGCCTTTTTCATCAGTAGGTGCATTTTGTAGTGTTTTAAAACAAGACGCCTCTTGTACCAAAATCCTCTTGCACCAATGCTTGGATTATTTTGCATCGTATACCCAGTCCAAGTCTCAAATGTAACAATTTACGTGCAAAATTTAGCAAGCACATGTAGGATTATGTATTGGGCTATTGCAAACAAATTTACCATCGTTAGATTAGCTTATTCTGAAACCGGTTTTTCGATTTTACCTAGCTAGGTAGTTTGGTGCAAGAGACCTCTGTTCACCGGGGGGAGGGGGAGCAGTCACTAATATAAATGTAGGTACGAGTACTCTGCTGATGTCCACATGGTTTACATAAATATTATAGAGGGTACTAGGCTTCCAAGTGTTTATTGTCTGTCATTCCTACAGACAGATGGCTGGAGGTAGGTATACAGATGTTTTGCAAGCTGGTTATAAATTAACCCTCGCCCATGTAGGGGGGGGGGGGGTTGGTGCAACCCCCCCCCCCCTGAGGTTTTTCTTAGCTACACGCCGAACCGTTTCAGATAGCCTGCTCAAATTTTCAGTACCCTATTAGGCATCCTTTGCGCAACTTTTGGTTTTTTTTGTCAAGGTCATGTCAGGTCACGGAGTTATGACGTCATAAAGGGAACAACCTCCGGCCAGATTTACGCTAAATTGGAGATTGCTTCACATTGGTATAAATGCCGACTGACCTGACACACTGATGGATTGTTTTAGAATCATAACTGGCTGATTTGACATTGGCACAATGTCCGTTGACCTTTTCAAGGTTACTAAAGGTCAAGGTCAGGTCAGTGACCTCGGTTGACCTGTAATGACTTCTTGCACTTGTATGCCTTTTCGGGGTATTTTGATGCCCTGAATTCGAATTTGCTATCCATTTCAGGCATCGTCGGTTGTTTCTTGTAGTTCATTTTGGGTCAGGGTCAGGTCAGTGACGTCACACGCCTGACGTGACAAAATGCACAAATGACCTTGCAGACTTCCGATGCTCCCAACGCATCATTTTTAGAGTTATGACATCGAAATACACACCAAACGATAGAGAATTGATCAAGGATCACGATAGTGAAGGTTTCAAGTCGATATCTCTTACCGTTTTGCCGCAATCGGCGCGGAAATCTGAAAAAGTTCGATTTTTCCGAAAATTTGACCTTTGACCGGTCATAAGTAGGTCAAATGTTGACCTAGGACCAAAAAATATACCACCAATCGCGAGATCTCGTTGAGAGCAATCCGTTGGTCTTTTCCGCTAAGCTCTACGACGCTCCGTTTTCAAACGCCAGGGGGGGGTCGCACCAACCCCCCCCCCTGCATGGGCGAAGGTGGCAAAATACCGTTAACGGGCGAGGGTTAAACTACCGCTAACACCTAAACATCAAGTCGAGTTTCAGAACTGTCTAGCGGCTGGTTTGCCCCAGAGAACATAAACAGCTCCCTGCCCAGCCTCTGAACACGTATATACAGCCGCTGTCTGCGGCCTAAGAGACAGTATCCGTCTACACAGCGTGGCTAGTGCACATCTCCGGCTGCTCGTCATGGCCTCGCACGCCGGCGCTCCCCCTCGGTGGCCGCTGGTGCCGCTGCTGCTGCCGCTGCTGCTGACCTGTCTGACGGGGCTGGACGGAGGCGCCGTCTCCGCTCATCAGCCGGCCGACCCGGCCGCCGCGCCGGCGAGGCCTGTCTGGCCAGCACGCTGGACCTGCTCTGGTCAACCGTCGGCAGGATCGTCCGCTCGGCCGTGGAGCCTGAGGTCGCCGAGCTGGACGGCCGGCTGGCCGGACTGCAGACTCAACTGACTGAACTGGCCGTGAGACTGGACAGGATTCAGGGAGGACAGGAGGCACAAAATTCCACAGTTCAGATCCATCTGCAAGAGATCGAGGTAGGCCTGAAGAAAGGCCACCTTGATTTCACATCGAAGGTTGATGGAGTGCAGTCCCAGGTGACGGAGCTGATGGCAAAAATCGACGATATTCAAGGAGGACAACAGTCTCAAAATGTCTCACTTCAGCGCCAACTTCAAGGCATGGAGGAGGGACTTGGAAGACTGGACTCTGATCTAAAGTCAACACTAGATGGAATTCAGGCCCAGACAGAAGCACGACTAGGAACTGTTCACGCCCGGTTGGAGTCCAAACTGGACCGCGTTCAGTCCCAGATCGACACGCGGCTCGGCCAAGTCCAGTCTCAGCTGGAGTCCAGGCTGGCGGACGTCCAGTCCAGTCCAGTCCGGGACTGTAGTGACCTGCCTGCCGGTGCCCGGAGCGGCGTCCACCTGCTGCGGCCGGGCCTGAGGCAGCCGGTGCCGGCCCTCTGCGACCAGGACACCGACGGCGGCGGCTGGACCGTGTTCCAGCGCAGGGCAGATATCCAGCCGCGACAGGACTTCTTCCTCGGCTGGGAGGCGTACAAGTGGGGCTTCGGCGCGCTGGATGGGGAGTTCTGGTGGGGGCTGGAGCACCTGTTCCACACCACATCGCTTCTGGACCGGCGCTACGAGCTGCGCATCGACATGGAAGACTTTGAAGGCGAGAAGAGGTTCGCGCTGTATCAGGACTTCAAGATATCGTCAGAGGCAGACGGCTACCGTTTACATGCCGCCAACTACTCAGGTACTGCCGGGGATAGCCTTAAAATCCACTTTGAGAAGCAATTCACAACTAAAGACAAAGACCAAGATGTGCACAAGACCGCAAACTGTGCCATTTCTTACAAGGGAGGTTGGTGGTACGAGAAATGCCATTTGGCGAACCTCAATGGCCTCTACCTGGGAGGTGAACACTCCAGCTACGCGGACGGTGTGAATTGGCAAAAGTGGAGAGGATACGAGTACTCACTGAAATCCGTTCAAATGAAGATAAGGCCCTTTATTAAAATGTGATTATCAAATTGATAAAACCAGTAAAACGCCTTTTGGGCGAAGAACGAGCGAGCGAGATTGTGAGCCTTGCACGTGCGGAAGGGCGAGAGGGTACTTCCAACGGGCTTGTGCAAAGCACCCTTCTAACCGGTCGCTAGCGGTGTGCCAAATTTGAACGCAATCGGCCCAGCCGTTCCTGAGATCTGGAAGCGGTATTCTGCACGTGCGCACGTGCAAACGGGGTCCAAAATGACTTTTGCACGGCACCCTACTAACCGGTCCCCAACCGTGTACCAAATTTGAGCGCAATCGGTCCAGCCGTTCTCGAGATCTGGAAACGCCCCCTGCACGTGCGCACGTGCAGTAGCACCCTAACCGCAACACATGGGAATGCATTGCCTGGTGGGTGCCTACCTGTATGCCAAGTTTCAGCGAAATCGCCCCAGTAATTACCGAGTTACTGAAATAGGAACAAATTTGGCACCTCTTCTTTTTGTATTTTGCACGTGCAGTGGGGGTCACTCACATAGATCAAGAGTATCCGACCTTTGGTAGAAGAGATTCAGCTACCCTATAAAAATTACCGCAAGACAATCGCTCAAGCCGCTACTGAGATATGGGCCTCTCAAAATCATTACTTTTGCAAAACTGCTTGAACACCCTTGACTTTTCACGTGGCACGTGCCACGACGGTCACTGAGATGTATCAAAAGTAGTCAATTACGGGGTAGAAGGGATGGGGCTACCCAGCAAAAAAGACCGCAGGCCAATTGGTCCTGCGGTTGCTGAGATATAAGCCTCTCAAAAGCGTTACAGGCCGGGCCGGGCCGGGCCGGGCCGGGCCGCTCATACTGAGATTTTTCCGTTATATTGAAAAGACTTCGCTTCGCTCGCTGCGCTCGCTCGCTCGTAACGAGTTCACGACATTTACCCGGAGACTTTTTTTTTGGAAAACGAGCAACCTTATCGAAGACTGTCATAAAAAAGTACTTCTGAGTGGATTGGAACACCAAGCAAATAATTATGGACCTGGCGGAAACCAAAATTCCTAACCACCCAACCACCACTACCAAGTTTTAAGCTGTTACCATAATATTGACATGATTTCAGAACCAGCCATTGGCCCAAGAGAAAGAGAATGGTTGCTGTTCGAGGGAAGAGTGGATTGTGGGCTGTGCTCGGATGCTGTGAAACGTTAATTCCTTTATAGTTTCGTTGAAACAATGCCATTTGTTTATCAGGACCCTATTTGGTTGTGTTGTTTTGCGACTGCAGCAGAGATGTAAGCGGATGCATGAGACGATAATCCGGGATTTGACCTCATAGGTGTCGTCTGAGATTCTCTTGCATTATGCTCCAAGTTTTATTTTTAAAAGGTATTTTGCATCCTAGGGCTAAACGTAATTGTGCACCATCGCAAATACATCTTGGATCCTGTCATGATTTTGGTTGAGAGCAAACATAATTTACCGGCACCTTCTTTCAGATATTCGAATAAGGCCTGGTCAATAATTGACAATTGCGTTATATTAGGTTATTTAACTCGCGCAGTGGAAAGGGGGCGGATTTTACCCATCCCTCCTCTTTTTCGCCAATAACTTACGCCGTAACCATCCCATTAACCCTCGCGGGCCAGGAGGGGCGTTTTTCGCCCCCCCCCCCCTGGAAAATATTTGCGATAGCTCCAGAATGCTTAGGGATAAGAAAGCGAAACTCACAGTAACTTTTCTGCCATTAATTTGACATCTTCTGAAGTAAAAAATTTAGACCTAGCCCCATTGATGACGTCAAAGGGTCAATTTTTCTAGACCCCTGCACGGCAAACTTCGGCGTCACAGACGCGAACTTCAAATACAGGGTGACACAAAAAAAACGGTCATCACCAAAATTCGAATAACTTCGGAAGTTTTATTCAGATCATCACCAAACTTCGGCCACTTTAGGTCACACCTATGTAGCAGACATCCACCAAGTTTCAAGTCTTCACTACGAATACTTTTAGTACAGTGTGTGTTTTACGGACGCTCCACAATGTGCTCCAGGTGAGCGCCCCGGCGCTGCAGGGCGTAGACACACCTGCTTCCGGCGGGCAAAGTTGACGATAACCCGATAAGAATAACGTTTCAGGGGTAGCACACCCCCTGAGCACTGTCTCCAGAGGCCATTGCACTCTGTAAAGTGCACAGCCATCGGGTTATCGACAACTTTGCCCGCCGGATGCAAGTGTGCCTACGCCCTGCAGCGCCGTGGCGCTCACCTGGAGCACATTGTGGAGCGTCAGTAAAACACACACTGTACTAAAAGTATTCGTAGTGAAGACTTGAAACTTAATGGATGTATGCTACATAGGTGTGACCTTAAGTGGCCGAAGTTTGGTGATGATCTGAATAAAACTTCCGAAGTTATTCGAAATTTGGTGATGACCGTTTTTTTTGTGTCACCCTGTAGCTGCTAAAAATAGAGTTTTAGAGATAAATACAAATCACGAGCACGGTTGTGTAGCGTTTCACCTAGAGAAAAATAGAAAAATAGTTTTGGTGACCTGAGGTCAGAGGTCAGGTCCACGACCCCGAGCTGTGGGTTTAGTTTTTTTTTCGCAAATAACTTCCACAAAAAATGGTCCTAGAGCTACGGCAGTGGTACCATCGCATTCGCCTTGTCAAGCCGCGTCGAGTGACATATTTTTTGTTTGGAAAAAGGTCAAGTTTTATGTTGACCTCATGTGACCTCGAATACCTTTGGTTGACCTTGACACATGAAAGGCCGTTTATGATGGATCCGTACCCGCTGATCACGAATCTGACATCTATTTTCCTCTAAGCCTTCATTTAGAGCCTCCGGATGGCAGAATTGTCTTACTTATTATTACTAACTTGAATCAGTAAAATAACCTCTAGCAAGGGCACTCTTCTGTGACCTTGACCTTTGAACAGCATTGTATCGTAAGATGAACCACAAATAGGGACCTGCTAAGCCTCAAAACATTTCAAAACATATTGGAAGTTAGCACGCAACATGTACGAAAAAGTGCAAAGTTTGTGGTCAATTTTGAGCATGACCTTGACCTTGACCTTTGATGTTGAACACTTTTTCGGAAGCGACTGGAACGGACCTATGAATGCCGCCCCTGTAGGTGGAAAATGTGCCGCTCCTGCGCTGACTGTCCCCACCCTATAGAAATCCTGGATCCGCCCCTGACGGTGAGAGCGGCATTTAAATGCCCTGTTTAAGTTGTGCTTAATCTAAAGAACACATTTCTTGCGCCATGACATCGTCCGGTCGTAATTGATCGAGACGAGGAAAGTCTTTTCACGCATCCCATAGCAATGCTCCAGGGTCATGGAGCTATCAACTGTTGGATATTTTCGGACAATCAAGGAAGGTTTTTGGTCCTTTGTAGGTTAGATCCAGGGTCAGGTCATTTTGCACCCATCAGCCCTCCCTCTAATAAATGTTGGCAAATAAATGTTGGCTCATGTCTGCCTTGATATTTTTTCATATCATCCTTCGCATTCGAGACGCATTTTTTTTCATCCGAAAAGCGCCATGCTGCTTATCAGTTGATCTGTAATCTTGAAATGAGCACATTCGACGTGTTTTCACATATGTTTTCTAACATGTTTGATCCAGAGATCAGAATACATGCTTAGAATATATGAACATGGAGCTAGAGCTCTTGATAAGTGACAAAAAGTGATGAAATCAACATGTAATACAATGTATTACATATGTAATACATATGCGTCATGCATATATATGCGTGATGGTAACATATGTAGCAGGGCACTAAAGAGTCACTAAAGAGGCACTAAGATATGTAGCTGTGAGTCAGTTAGGCTTGTTCATATAAAGACAATAAAGGGCGGTAAAATGTCACATGGAGCTTTTAACCCTCGCCGGCGCAGGCCATTTTCCGTCCTTCGACGGCACAAGGGTTGGTTGGTACGACCCCCCCCTCGCGTTTGGCCCCTGATCGAGCTAGAGCTTCGCGGAAAAAAACGAGCGTGCTGCCCGTCACGAGAGGAAGCCGATAATATCCAATTTTAACCCGCGCCCCACTGGGGGGGGCTATTCATAGCCCCCCTCCCGTTTTTCTGCAATAACTTCCAAACCGCTTGACGTATCAACGCCAAACTTTCAGTACCTTCGGCTGCATCAATTTGACACCTTGTGTCGAAATTTGAACTTCTTAGCTACCATAGGTCGGCTGGAAATGACGTCAGAGTGACGTCATGTACGGCCGATTTCGACGCAAAACATTGAACCACGGCAATCGCTCCCAAGGGCTCAGTTTTTAAGCTAGATCCATTTTCTTTGCATGAGAGGACTCAAAATAGACTGCGCTATCAAACTGCTATCTCGGATTTTCGAAATTCTGAAAATTTCGAAAATTTTATATAATAAAATTCAAAATTTACATTTTTACATTTTTTCCAAAAAGTTTTTGACTTTTCGAAAAAAAACGGAATATATGCGATAGAACGCGTTATTATTACTATAGTCCATTTTTTTTTTCAAAAGGCGCACGGCCCGAAAATCGATTTTAGAATTGTCACGTGCGAAGTGATGGTTTTTACAGAAATCAACGAACACCGGCTTGGCACGCTTGGCACCACTTGGCACGTTTCGAAATCACTGGCCGGCTCGGTCGGCTGGTCTGGGCTGGTCTCTGACTTGCGATAGTTTGGAAAAAAGTATAGACATTCGACTCATAATGAGGAACTGTGAATCGAAAATGCTTCCACACGGGGTCTAGCCATAGGCACTAAACAAATGATTAAACTGATGACGTGGATGACCTGTTTGCAGACCTACAAAAGTAACACACGGATTGACATTTTGTTTTAGATTTATTTCTGTTGAGTACAAAAAGAAACATGAGCCAGTATATCTGCCGATCTATTACAATGCTGATCGATCGATTTCTGCACTGGGAAGAAGTCGGGTATGCGCCAACTAAATCTGGAAAGACTTATAAAAAGACGACTGAAGTTTGTAGGTAGCATGCGAGAACACAATGCAAGACAACAATACGGA